AAAAAAAAAATTTCAATAGGACGGACTCCCAAAATGCACTTCTGTCAAAATCTCAACACAAAATTTTGCACTGTAACATAGCATTTTATAAACTACATACAATATACTGGTATTTGAAAAAGTAACAATAATACAACTGTTTAGACAGAAGTATAACTGAACCTAAAAAGATTGTACAATTATATTCTTGAAAAGCTGAAACTTACTTCCAGTTCCTTCCTTTGCATTATTCCACAGTTCATTCACAATTGCTTCCACTTCAACAATTTTTCTGTCAAATTCTTCATCATTTAAAACAACAGGGCTACTAGAAATTTTGTTAAGTAAATCTCTTAAATCTTTAAGTTTTTCCCTATGAGCATTTACAGCATCTTGGACAAGATTATAACATTCTGGACAATCGTGACAACCACTGTGACGATCATACTTGTTCTCCTTGCAACGGTCACATTGTCGGCCTTCAACATTCTCTAAGCACTGTGAGGAAAAGATAATACATAGATTAATGACATTTTTAAAATTCCAGTTCTAGCACAGTACAAGCCTGTCTCAGTGGCATAGCAGCATGGAGATATGTTCAAGTACAATAAAGCAGATGGCTATGGGTTTGAATCTCACACGAGACATGGGTCTTTCCACCAGTAATATATTTATTGCCTATTGTTATTGGAAGTTTTACTGAGCCTTAAAAGTTTTATTTCATCAGATCTTTAGTAAAAATTCCAAATCTGATATAAAAAAGCAAGTCTCCATGGATACATTGAAAGGTTTGCATTACAAACTAACTGTATCCACAATTTTTTTTAATGTTTTCAGGTTTTCCTGGTCTATTGACACATAGTAAAAGTTCTTAATTTAATCTCGTAAACACAAACTCTAGCAGTTTTAGGGGAAAAATTTTCCCAATAGTCTGGAAAATTTAATTTTTTAATAACATTGGAAGAGTAGGTAATATGAGCTAAAAACACAACTTTGAATACCCCCTCCCCCTTTGGAAACAAACAAGAACAGGACAGTCTTTCTTATTCATGGTTGAGACATGGCTCATGGGAACTGTGGAGACTGACAACAGGAAGAGAGGAAAAAAGAGACATTTAAATACCAATCATAGAGCACAGAATGTTCCAATCAATCAAATTCATGACACATCAAAGGTCAGGGTTTGTTCTCCCTAGAATGTGGTAGCTTTCCAATTGATTAAATTGCAAAAATGTCAGGATTAAGATTTGTAAAACTTCTGAGACCTCTAATTGCAGAATTGACATGAAAAAGGTAGTAACCAATGAAAAGCAAATTTTACTGGGAACACACAAAAAACAGTTAAACTACTAGATAAAGATGCCCCCCCTCCCAAATAAGACACACAATATTTAAATGACTTTTCTGTGAAATGAAATGAAATTTTAAATGACAAAATATATTTAAATCATTTTACATTTTTATAAAGAATATCAATATTATGTACAAAAGTGACAGTAAAATGCACGATAGTTTGGAGCCATCAAATTCAATGTAGACAGGCAGAGGCGGGATTTTGGATTTTTTAAAGGGGGAAGGAGGATTTTTTTATAAAAAAAATTCATATTACAGTTTTATATATATAAATATATATATATATAAATATATATATATATATATAAATATATATATATAAAAATTAAAATTCTCTTTGTTTACATAATATTAATTTTAATAATATCATAAGTAAAACAGTGTGCAGTGTGCTTTTATTAAACAATTTAATTTTTAATATTCTGTATTGCTCACAATATGTATTTGATGTATAACTTATAAATATATGTATATAAAAATAATTATTATATTGCAGCTGCTTGAAATTTGTTTTATATTTCGAAATTTGCGTACTATATATAATATGTATATATTAAATGAGAAATGTTTTCTTTTTAAGAGTTAATTCGTGTTATGACTCATGATTTTAGGCGTGAGACAGTTTAATTTCTAAGTAAATAACGTTTAAAAGCAAAATATAAGTAGAAGATGATTTATTGATATGGGGTATTCACAGTAATGCCGAACATTATCCTGGTGTTTTATAATATTGAACTTAAGTTCACCAACTTATTAATGCATTTTATTAGTTGAGCTTACTAAAATTATTGTTAACTTAATTATTATTAAATTTCTTCTTAAAATATAGAAAAAGTAAAATCTTTTGTAATATAAATTTGAAGATCCGTAAAATGAAATGTCCTCCACGAATACAACCTTTCCAAAATCATCCTTATTTCATTCTTTATGTTCACTTCATTAAACATTTTTTTAATTTTTTTTTTTATGATAGGTGATTTCTCAAAATTCTAACTGAAGAAGCAAATTTTATCTTAGTTGGTGATGTATTAAAAAAAGTTTCTTATTCTGAGGGAAATCATAGAAATCTTCCTCTGACATATTTAATGGTTGATTTCTTTTTCATGGTTGCTACCCTTTTCGTGTCAGTATCACAATTGATGAAACAAACTCAAAATAAATACCAAAAGTTTACCCTTCAGATGGAGAGAGTTTTTTATTTTGGAAACTCTGAAGAAAAGATTTTATTAACTTCTTGCTTGCCTTGATGTAATAAACTAATTAATCTGCTAAAATTTAATTATGATACATTTGGAACATTGTAAGAACCTTGATGGATTTGTAAGATGCTATTATACCTCAACTTAAAGGACATGCAATTGTAATACCGTAGTTGATTTTCAAAGTCTATTTCTATCGTTTATATATTTTTCATTCTGTTTCAAATATGATTAACTCTCCAATAATTTACAAACATATGGATACCAAATTTGATGTGGAATTTAAGGATTTAATGTTAATTAAAAAAATAGATAAATAAATACTTACAGGACATTGCCCCTGGGGATCACACTGTAGACTTTCTGATCCAATTGTGTCACATTCACATGCTTTGCAACCTTCAGCAGAAAATCCATAACGATATTGTTCACATGAATCACAGTGTAAACCTGTGATTCCTGGTCGACATTGACACTGCCCAGTGTGAACATCACAACTATGATTTAATGATCCAATAGGATCACAATTGCATGGTTGGCATCCCTGAGTGTCAAAGTTTTAAGAGCACAGTTTAAACATACAACTGACAAAATTTCAGTAAGTACATTAGACAATTATAAGTTCACTTACTTCACCACTAATTATATCAAAGTAACCTTCCTCACATTGATCACAATTTTTGCCTATCACATGAGGTTTGCACTGGCACTGACCGGTCACTTGATCACAAACCAGAGGGATGGACCCTGTCTCAACTGTCCCCACCGGATAGCATTGACATTGTTTGCAGTCGCCTTTAGGTAGGGCCAGAGCATCACCATAGAAACCTAATCCAAAAAACATGCGTTTTATGCAAAGTGTTTTTTTTTGTTAGCATACTAACTACACAACATGAAATAGTATATTTAATACACAGTCAAAACAAGAATTATTTGAAATTAAATGGGAATTAACTTTATTACATCTACAAGTTTTTTTAACATTACAAAGACATTATATTATTGACAAAAGTTTGCAAAGATGCTTATCAAAACAATTATGGTCAAGTGATAATTCTGAAATTTAATCAAATTAAATACAAAATCAAAAAGAAACAACTGAACAAGAAGAAGTGTTAAGTGAACATTATTACAAACTTTAGGCAATGTATTTTATTTTGATATAACCTGAAATGATGAAATAAATTAGCCAGATTCTGTCAGAAACTTAGGGAATCAAGTAATAGGGTATATAGTAATATTTATTTAACCAAAGGAAACCTAACACAAAGTATTGTAAAATGCACACATACAATACAAAGACCCAAAAAGAAACACGGTGAGAGTTATTTTCTTCTCCTTTTTCTTTCTTTTTCCATTTCAAAAAAGATAAAAACACAAATGCATGCATGCGATCACACACACACACACACACACACACACACACACACACACACACACACACACCTACATGTGCACATAAACCCTCACCACTCACTCTTGATTCACCATTGTTTACATTACCTTATTAGTTAAATTAGTTTACTTAAAAATGCATATAGCGAACTAATAACTCACAAGACAGATATAGCAGTTGTATCTATTATGCAAATTCTCAATATCCCCTGAATTACTTATTCCACACTCAAATTACATTAATTTTCACTTAATGAGAAGAAAAGTGTTCAGGTACACTATTTATACACTTCTATGAAGTGCTTCACAGACAAGATCTCACAAATCAAAAGCAAATATTGAGAAAACATTATACCTGGCATGCATCTCTCACAATGGGGACCCCCTGTATTGTAAATACATTTCAAACATTCTCCAGTTGTTCGATTGCAGTTTCCAACAGCATTCAAATCAATGTTATCATTGCATTTGCAAAGTTGGCATGGGACTACATAGCCTGTCAAAGCAGATGGATCTCCAAAATAACCATCACTACATGTGTCACAACGGGGACCTGCAACAAACAAATATGTGTGTGAACAAATGAAATTAAGTATGAAAGTTTATAGATAATTATTATTCATCAAAGAAGATAGATAATGTAACACAATTTAACAATAAAATTACTAAAAGTGTTCAAAATTACCTCCATAACCAGTAGGGCATTCTGAACAAAAAATAAATTCATCATCCATTTGAAAACATGGCCCACCATAAGGGCATGGACACTGTAAACAATCATACTCAGTGCCATGTAATGCATTTCCATAGTATCCTTTTGCACATCGATCACAGTTGTCACCGGCAGTATTATGTTGACAAATGCATCGTCCTAGGAAGAAAAAAATAAAATCAAATAAATAGGGCTCAACTTAGCATTTAATTAGACCTAATCTTATTCAGAAGAATTAATTAAAAATTACCTGTTTCAGCATCACATATATCAGCATGACCATTACAGTTGCAACGAACACAAGGAGCAAATGGACCTCCATTTGAAGGTTCATGACGATAGCCAGGAGCACATGATTCACAGAATTGTCCCACATATCCTTGAGGACAATTGCAATTTTCAATCCAATGAGCAGGTCTCCCTGGAGCACCTCGTCGCGCAGTGGCCAATTTCACATTGTCCAGAAAACCAACACCTAAAAATAAAGGTTGCAACTTTGTTAATTTTAAATATTTCATTACTACCAAGTTATATTTACCAAACTGATGTGAAGTCAGATCTGAATTCTGCATAGATAATTTCATAACAATGAAATGAAATTATAAAAAACACACACACACGCACGTATCAGACACACAAACTTGTGACACCAGAACATGGGCTATCTACTACATCACTGTCAAGCAATAGAGAAAAAAAACATGTTGGAAGTGACAAGAATTGGAAACAAGTCATACGTAAATATACATGTTTAAGGTTATATCATGAGTTATGGTTATATCATGAGTTATGGTTATATCATGAGTTATGGTTATATCATGAGTTATGGTTATATCATTAAATATGTTTGATAAATTCCCGAGTTGCGAAGTAATGAGGAAATAAATTCGAACATTTCCCATGCATGTGTGGTATTTAATAAGACTATTACACAAATGACATTACCTTCAAAAGAGTTTCAGAATGCGCCACAGGTTATTTGTATTAATGAAACTCGCATTTTTCAGTGCATTCCACCTCCTAAGATAGATGTAATGCAGCTTATGATTGGCCAGTATAGAGAAATGGTGAAAAAAATTGGAAAGAAAGCAACATCATCTTATTTTTTAACGGCCAGATTGGAGAATTCAAATTGTTTTGTTAAATGCTATTGGTGTTAATTTCATGAGTTTAAGTCGGTAAATCAGTAAAATACATTTAGCTGTGCTCTTTGAACCATTGTCATTCTACTTAATGCAACTCACTTGATACTTATAAAATTGTCCCTGCAAGTAACTTTTGACATTAATATTAGCTGGGAAATAGGAAGAGGCAAAAAACAAAGAAGAAGGAGAAGGAGAAGGAGAAGGAGAAGGAGAAGAGAAGGAGAAGAAGGAGGAGGAGGAGGAGGAGAAGAAGGAGGAGGAGGAGGAGAAGAAGAAGAAGAAGAAAAAGAAGAAGGAGGAGGAGAAGGACGAGGAGGAGAAGGAGGAGGAGGAGAAGAAGGTGGAGGAGGAGGAGAAGGAGGAGGAGGAGAAGAAGGAGGAGGAGGAGAAGAAGGAGGAGGAGGAGGAG